AGATATGCGAGGCGTGCTGTCTCGCTCAATGTACATCACTAGTCTGGAGGGGAAGGGGGGGAGGGGGAAAGGAGGCCGAGATATGTGAGGCGTGGTGTCTCGCTCAATGTACATCACTAGTCTGGAGGAGGGGGGGGGGATTTTACACGTGAGTCTTACTGAAAAACGTTGATTAAACGTACAACAGAAGGCTCTATGCGCTTTACACTATATTATTACCCCAACAGACCATAGAACACGAATTTTCCCCACTTCCCCCAGGTGGGAATAGGTACCCGGCTAAAGACAGTGAAAGATCTTGTCAGTTTGTTAGTGTTTGAGCGCTTAATCAGCTGCTTGCACTGTTTGCTTCCCGGGAAGCTGAGAATGTTTCTGAGAGCTCTATGGTCTGTTGGGGTAATAATATAGTGTGAAGCGTATAGAGCCTGCTGTTGATATAATTAACTATTATTTCTATTGCACTTATCATCCCGGTCACATCAGAAATGTGGAGAACCTCGTCAACATTAACAATGAAAGTTTTAGTTTTAGCAAGAGTTTTACGGCACTTGCAACACAATAAGGCTATGTAAGAGCCGAAGATTAGAGGTGTTACAAGAGAGTAACAAACACAAAAAAGGAGGAGAGATAAGGACGATAGATGTTTGATAGGAAAGAAGGAGCAAACCACACCAGAGCACCTGCCACCCACCCACTAACAACAAAAGACAGGCAAGGAAACGAAAGATCGATCACTGAGAGGGAAAAGAGAGAGCCTACCTTGCTTGACAACAGCTCAACAAGAGCTCGTTGTTGTTGTGCACCATTTCATGAATCAAGACAAACGCTTTGCCGCGAATCACCGACGAGGGGCTCTCAAAACACCGCATGATTTTGCTCCTGAAATCCTTTAATACAAAAAAAGCATTAACAAACATGATTAAGTTTTTTTGTTGTTTTTTTTTTAGAGTAGAGGGTTTAACGGCGCTCACAACTGCATTAGGTCATATGAGCGCCAATGATTAAGTTTGTCTTATAGAAGCATAAATAAAACAAATGGGTAACGGGGAAAGATCAGGGAAACATAGCTTTTTAAGAACATCTGAACAAAGGAATGAATGGAGAACCATAATCGCCGATTTCTGTCCCAGATCTGGCTCTGGATGATGATAATGACAAATAAAACCAAAGATTAACATGGTTACAGCATTTCATAGGAGCGGAGAATAAATTATTGTCTTTCAAATGTCTTTAGAGAAAGAAAGGAACAAAAGCACTTCCATTGTTTCTTCAAGCAATCTACAACAACCTGGAGAAAGGCCTGAATGTTCTAATTACTTGAGTGCTTCTGCTCTTAAGTCTCTCACAGTCCCTGAGGGGGGCAAGTCCACTGGCATTTTTCGTCAGTTGCAGACCAGGCTCATAATATGCAAATGAGCTCATTTTCGGCAGTCACGGACTTCCTTTGCCTGACTACGCGATTTTCCTGCTTGTGCGTTTTTTGTCAGCCGTACAGGTGACTAAGAAAGCCTCGATTCGACTCATTTTGGAAGGAAATTTGCATACTATAAGTACAATTTTGTCTCCTCATTGCACTTTCCATTATCCACATAGTTCAATATAGTTGTATCTCATTACAATATGTTGTACAGTCGTACATTTGTGCTGAAAAACAGCCCAAAAAAGGAATTAAAGTACTTGGCCTAGGTTATTTGGTTCTCCGGAGAGCTAAAAAAAGGTTAGACCTAGCCTTCCCGAAATACCTCGGTCACTCGGCTCATATGAGCTAATGAGCTAAAATGTTTGCCAGGGAGAGACTCTAGACTCTGCGTAATAATAAAAATACGCTTTGCAAAGCAGTCCGTCAAAATTATTTTTGGAAAAATACTTAAAGTTTCAGAGATCTTCGTACTAGAAATATTTTAAAATGTGAAGGATACAACCTCGTGGGTACAAAATGACCCCAGGGCGTACGGAGAGGGTTAAAAGTGGCAAAGTCAAGGACTGAGTTCGATGAACATAAAGGCAGCAAGTAAGACTCTATCTTGATCATGAAGTGGCGGGAGAGAATAAGAAATGAAGATCTGTGGGAGAGGACAGGACGAAAGAATATAGAAGTAGAAATAGGACTAAGAAAGTGGCGATGGATGGACACACCTTCAGAAAGCTCAGCGGAAACATCACAAGACAGTCACTGCAGTGGAACCCACAGGGAGCACGAGGCAGGGGTAGGCCACGGGAAACAAGGAGGAGATGCGTGGAAAGGGACATTAGAGAGATGAAGCTCACTTGGAACGAGCTTGGAAGGATGGCCCAGGATAGAGATAAATGGAAGGAGCTTGTATGCGCCAGTGGTGAAAGGCACTGATGATGAAATGGTCGCTTTTAAGGACAAGCGGGCTAACCCAGTTTTGGGGTTTCCAGAAATCTTGACCTACACCAAAAGTGGGCGTTGCTCTACCTATTGGAGAAGTTTGGTTTCTTTGGTGTGTATATTTGTTTCCTGGTATTTTAAAGAAACAGAACAAGGGGCAAAAACTTTACCTTCGATATTCTCAAAACAGCATTTTTTCGGGAGAGCCCCCTTGTGCTAAAAAGCGACCAAATAAGACTTACTTTATCCTGCTAGATATGAGAGGCATTGATGATGAAATAAAAGACTCACTTTATCCTGCTAGGGGTGAGAGGCATTGATGATAAAATAAAAGACTCACTTTATCCTGGAAGAGCCTGTTGGTGTAGCCGACGGTGACCATGAACAGTCCCAGCATGGTGATGACTGCCTGCTGGACACGAGACACGCCCCCGGTCAGCGCCTGCATCACCGGCGTCAGGCCGCCCGAGTCCAGAAGGTTTTGGAACATGGCGGCGTTATGCCACGTCAGACGACACAACGCCTGAGGAGTG